AGCACTTGGATTTTCTGATTTAATTGGGTTGACGGTTGGATTGATATCTGATCTCTCAGTTGGCTCTTGATGTTCAGCAACTTCTTGAGTGGATTTAATAGTATCAGTGAAAGCATCAACTGATTCCTCAACCTTTTCTACATCTCCATCCATAACTGTTAACTCCGCCTGACTGCTCTCCACCTTAACTTCTGGCTCTTGGTTTGATGTCTTGCTTATTGTTCTGTTACGTTTAAATTCAGGGATTTCAAGGAATACCTCACCTTTGCTCTCCAATGACAAATTGTTAGTATTATTTTCATTACTGACATCTTTTGTACCCTTGGAATGACTCAGCATGCTATCTTCAGTTGGGTCTGAGAGCTGAGTAGTGTCCTCTTTGTCTTTGTCTCCTGGGTTCGGTTGAGAGGATAGTTCATACTGAGCAACGTCAACTTTTGGAGAAAACCTTACAGACTTCTTAGCTTTATTTGGATAATTGTCCTGCATTTTGAGATTTGGTATGTGGTTGGTTTTTGGAGTTGGTGTCACATTTTTCTGTTCTGGTTTTTGGTTTGTGTCAGTTACACTTTTCTCTCGGGTTGGCGCCGAAAAGTTAAGCACTCTTGGAGTGATGCCGTCCACACTGTGTTTGAAAGGCCCTGCTTTGATTGGATCATTTTTTGTTTTGGTTTCCTTTGAGCTGACCTTCTCATTTGAGTTATAAACTGTTGTCTTAGATACTTCCTTTATGTCTGAGATGGAGAAGCTTGACATTGCCTTCACTTTGTCCTTAGTTTCTCCACCATGGTTAACCTTTACTTGGTTGGTGTCACTCTTTGGATGCTCTGACAAGCTCTTACTAAAAGAAGATGCTTTGCAAATGTCTGATATCTTGTTTTTCATGTAAGTTTGCTGTGATGGATTCACCCCTGCACTCTTCTTCTCTGGTGGCCAGCTCATTTTTAGTTTGCCCTTAACATCAGTACTACTACTACTGGATCCCAACTGTCTTGCAGGTGACTTTGTGACAAACACATTAGCATAAGACTCTCTGATGCCATCAGTGTTCAAGTTGCTTTTTGTACTTTTTGTCATTTTAGGAGTAGATCCAGCATCTGGCTCATCTGTGCATTTATTTTTCTGAAGCCAGTGGTCTTTATGTTGCTTGTGACCAAATCCTTCATCATAATTCCCTTTTCTTTTGAAAAGCTGTTGGTAGTGAGAAATGCAGTAGAACTCCCCATAAAGAGATGAATAGTTGTGAATGCTGCAATGAAGTAAAACAAAGTATGTTGTTGTATTCGGGCCAACATTCAAATAAATTTGTTATATGATTTGTAATTAGTGCTAGACTAGCTTCAATCATGATTTCAATGGATTGGAGAATTCAATAATCACATTTTAATTTCTTAAATCCTCACTAACAATGGCTTTATTCATTATTGCCATTGTTATAATCAACTAAGTTTACGTTTCAATTATGATTAATATCTTTTATAAGCGATGATTAGAGTCATTTTATAATACTCTGAAAGATATCTCACCTGAGCTTCTTCTTACAGTGTTTACAGCAGAAACAGCTGTTATGCAGGACAAGTTTATTGGCCACCATTTTTTCCATTGGATAGACAGGTGTCAGACAGGCAGAACACATTTCCTTGGCGGGTGACAGGAACTATGACGATACAACAAAATAATTTTAACGTGACCAGGATGCTTCATTAAACATTTGAATTCAAATAATCTTTCTATCGTATTTTTAATTTATAAAAAAATATGCAGGTATATTTGAGTGGTTTATTATGGTTGAATGATACATTTTCTATGTTTTCAAGCTACTTTAATAAAATAAAAAAAACTTTAAATCAATGCTCACATCAACAGCATTGTTTTACTTGAAGGAGCCAATCTGAATTATTACAATACCATTGAATATCACATATCTAGCTTTGATTTGTTGCAGATTTATTGTTAGAATTAAGGCAACCACAGTTGTGGAAACATTTTTATTTGAAAAAATGTATAGGTATAACAAGTGCAGTCAGCAACGTGGAGACCTAACTAAACATATTTGAGCAGGGCTGTTTTTGTACCAAGAGAAAATAAATTAATAGATTTTTGAAACATGCAAATTTCATAATCCTCCCCATAAATCAATATCAACTCAATTATTTGTATGTGATGCATAGAGGGTGCTTTTGAAGTAATGTGTATGTATGCTATGTAATTGACATAAGACTCAAATTTCAGCCAAGAAGCCAACATTTTTCTAGAAAATAATGGTGCTAACATACAAGTGATGTCAATAGCTGATGTGGATGGTGTCCTTCTGTCAGATATGTCAGATAAATTAAAGACTTGGTTAAAAAAGATATAAAATGATGATTTAAAATGGTATATTTTACCCATTATTGTAAAAATATAAACAAAAAATGTATTCATTTTTAAATGAAACCATTGTCATGAAGTCAGATTTATGCTCAAATTAAATTAATAAGTAATTTTACACATGACAGCAACAATGTAGGTGCTTGCTGCTCTTTACACATAAAAATGAACACACCTGTGTATATTTATTAAGTTTTGGCCATGTCCACTCATTGATTAAGTCTACATGGAAATTACTTGTATTCTGCTTCTAGCCTTTGTTAGAAAAAATACTTTATAGAGTAATTAGAGTAATACAATGGTTTTTAGGCTGATGTATTCTTTTGTGTTGTTCTTTTGTGTCACCAGTGTTTCAGTTTTAAACATGTGGAGAAAAAACAATCCAAAAATCTGTTGAAAAAAGAGAAACCACATTTTAAGATGGGATCTTTTAAAGCGTCATTTATTTGACAATTTACACAACAAAACATAAGGTATCAATTATATGCCTAGCTTCAGTTTAAAACTACACTATCATGTGGTTACAGTAAAAAATCTTAGACAATAAAAATAATGATATTAAACTTTTTGATAACTTCATAGGATCAATTGTATGACTAACACAACCTTTTTTCAAGAAAAAAAAGATAATAAATACAAAATGGAATAACTGCTTTCCTAGGATAAAATAATTGAGAACTGTTAACTATTGCTTTTCCTTTGGTTGGCTGAATGTGACAAACACTGTCCCCTCCTCCTTGGGGTTGCTCAACACTTTGTCATCAAATGGGCGTCCAGATCTTCGAATTAATGGGGAAGTCATGACTTCATATCTGGCTGGACTTCCAACTACTTCAAAAAGTGCAGATGATTTGCTGTCTGAATGTTTGGTGACAACAGTTGAAGTCACAGAGGAAACAAATACATTGCCAAAGCCATCGGTTTCTTCATACATTTCGCTCACAGTCTTTTTGCCAATTATTCCTGCTGGTTGCTCTGGGACAGTTTTTACCTCAAGAACACTGACCTTGCGTTGTGCAGGACTGTGACCACCTTTCGAAGTGTCTACAGCAACAGACTCCAGTCCCAGATCACTACTTGCATCAGGGCAACTATGAGAATGGCTATCTGTTTTTGGATTAAAGGTTGACATGGTCGACTTTTGTTGTTCAACAGGCTTCCTGGCAGCTGAGTGAATGGAGATGAATGAAGGGGAAGACTGGGATGAGGACTGTCTGATGAGTGGCTTATTGTGCACTTTCCTGGGTAATCCTTCTGTAGATTGACTTGAATCTAAAGTTGTTTGCAAATTCACATCAGACTTTTCTTTGATTTGACCTGATTTGGCTTTGCTTGACACGATACTTATTTTCCTGATGTTGTTGACTGGTTGAAAGTTTTGATCAGATTTCAAAGACTCGTCAAATAGTCCTGACAATCCTGCAATGTCTGCCTCAGATTTCAGATTGGAGACTGAATACAAAGCCTTTTTAATTGACTCTTCAATGTCTAGAAGTTTTGCTAATGTTTGTTCTTTCAGATTCATTATTTCTTTGCTTGCCTTTTCCAGATCCTCAAATGCAGTCTCAACGGAGGAGATGCTTTCCAGATCATCGTCCTGTGGCTCTGCTTCAACTTTCTTTTCCTCAGTTTTTCTTCGCTGTGCATTTCTACTAGGTGTATCTATCCAAGCAGGGACATTGTCATATATTGTCTTCAATGAGCTAACATCTGTATTGCTGGTCTCACCCTCTATCTCTTGCACTTGACTCAGGATTCCTTTGAGTTCCTCTCGTTTTCTCAAATTGTCAAAGATTTCCATTGCTGCTTCCACATTTCCTTTCATGATCTCGTCCTTGTGGACAGAAAGTCTTTGTCGTCTTTGGTCATCTGTCTCCTTTACTTTCTTTTCTCTTAAAACAACTTTCTCTTCAAGGTTGATTTGTCTCTCTGGAGGTTTGGGATGTGATTGGTTTTGTTGAGTTTTGGCTTTGTTGGTTTTTCATGATCACTTAAATTGTCTTGAATTAGTTTGACCTTCTTGGACGATGAAGGGATTCTTTTGTCCAGAGTGTGACTTTCTTTCCTTTCAAAGTTTTTGAGCGCGGCCTGCAGGCTCATGTTCATTTCATGTTTACCTTCTTCTGCGTAATTCTTCATACATATTTGTATCTCTTCAGCTGCATTTATTTTCTGTATGACATTTCTCTCCATTACCCCTTCATAGGTGTTTAATATCATCCCTTGGCAGTCTGATTTGTTTCCTGTAGATGGTGTTGTTTTCTTAATGTCCTGGGCTTTGGAGTCCATTGGTAGATGTTCAGTTGCCTGATCTGACTGTTGCACTTCTTCATCAAAATCTTTCTTGGTAGGTTTCATGCAAGGTCTCTTTACCTATTTTGTTGGGTCTTGTGTTTTCTTGTAGTTTATCTGTAGAAGGTTTTGGGAGTTCTTTGCCTTGAACTGGTGGAATTGCTGAATTTTTCATTTTGTGTTTAATGGGGCAAATGATTTCAGGAGCAGGACTCGATGTAGTATTCTTTTCTTCCACAACTACTGATTTCGTCCACTGGGGCTTTGGTGGTAAAGCTGGCCTCTGCACTTGCAGTTTCCCACTTGTTTTTTGAGGGATTGGAGGTGGAGATACACTCTCAGGGCTGGATGAATTAGAGTATCCATTTGCTACAGGGTTGGTTGATGGATTCTGTGTTGTAATGGTTGGTTGTCCTTCATAGGTTACTGAAATTGAAGGAGACAGTTTTGTGTCAGATGGAGGCATAGACACCACAACACATTGATTGTGAACAGTCTCGCTCCTACCTGAGCAAGCCCTCCCTGAATTTCTGTATATCATTGCAGCTTTATAGTCTCCTTTGGATACATTTACACTAGACTTTTCAAGAGATTGCAGAGCCAATTGGACATTACCTCTTACAATATCTTCTTTATCTGGGAGCTTCTGCTCTGTTGCAGCACTCTGCAGAGACTTAATAGCTGCCTTCACATCTCCCCTGACAATTCCTTCTGTCTCATCTTCTGTTGTCTGACCATTACACTCATAACTTACAAATGGTGGCTGTGATACTGGTGCACAATTACTAACTATAACTGCACTTTGTTGACTAGCCTCACAGGAAACATAGCTTTCCCTAGCTTTCCCTGATTCACTGACCTTTGAAATGTTTGTCTTGATTTGCTGACATCTGGAGGAAGACGAACATGTAGATTGCGTCGTTGCTGACGTGCTTTGCTCTTGTGTTTTGACATTCACGTTGTATATTTTTCCAGGGACAACGACTTCACGTTCCACCTGCATGCTCTGCTGCTTGGCCATTTCCAGGGACTTTTTTGCTGCTTTTACATCTCCGGATACAATGACCTCTTTTTGTGCATGGCTATTTTCTAATTCAGGAACTTCAGCTGACAAGTCCATGTCATAGATAGTTCCAGGTTTAATGAGCTCCCGCTCAACCAGCATGCTCTGTTGCTTTGCACGTTCCAATGACTGCATTGTTGCCTTGATGTCACCAGCCACAATGTCCTCTTTTTCTACAGTGACAGGTTGCTTTTCTGCAAGTTGTTGCTTTGCTGTTGAGATGTCCCCAGGGATTATTTCTTCTTTTGGGAGACAGTTTTCAACATTGATGGAGCACTCTGATGAAAAAACCTTTTTAGTATTCTTTACATCCCCTGGCAAAACATCAGAAATGGTTCGCTCTACTTGGTCTTTTTGCTGACAAAGACTTCTTTTTGCTTCCTTCACATCCCCTTGAACTATTTCAATATGCTCCTCAGCCAAAAGGCTGTGATCAACTTCATCTCCTGATGCCTCAGCATGAAGACTTTTCAGATAGTGCAGATCTCCTTTCTCAATGCAACTTTTGTACAAATTCACATTTCCCTTTTCGTTTTTGTCCACTACACATGATGCAGCAGTCCTCTGACTATTGGCCGTAGCTAAAAGACTTCCAATTGTAGACTTAACATCTCCCTTTTCTATAACATGACTGTCGGTTTTTGTTTCATAATTGCAGATAAGTGAATAAACTGACATTTCCGCTTGTCCCTCTTTAGTCTCTTGCATTATGATTCCTTTTTTCAGACCCTTAACTTGAACAAGCATTTCCTCGATCATCTGGACAATGTTTTGTGTTCTCTGATCCCTCTCCAGGTTGATAGTCGTGGATGACTGGTAAATTGGAAGTTCTACTACAGTGGTGGACTTTTCCCTTCTCCAGTTCTCTGAGAATACAAACTTGGGGCTTTAGGTTGGATGTTGGTTTGAGCATTAGTTGTAGCATGATGTTCCTGATGTTACCCC